ATTTTGTAGGGTTGATTTCAGAACTTGATATAGGCCTCTTCAACATTTCCATCTCATTCTGGCTAAGTCTTGGAAAGTGGTGTGATTTCACATTTTGGCCAATTTCCCTCAGATTTTCATATTTCTGAGAAAAAATTTCCTGTAATATTCATTAAAAATATTTTGAATTTCTGAGGGGATCTTTTGTTATTTCCTCTTTACCATTTCTGATTGATGAAAGTACAGATTTTACTCATTTTACTGGTTAGGTTAGCCAAAGGTTTATGTATTTTATTGACCTTTTCAAAAAAACAATTTTTTCATTCATCAATCTGTTCTTTAATCCTTTTGCTTTAAATTTCATTTAATTCTGCTCTAATTTTGGTTATTTATTTTCTTCTGCTGGGTTTGGGATTGGAATGTTCTTCCTTTTGTAGTTTCTTGAGATGTCCCCTTAAGTTGTTAACTTCCTCTCTTTCCGTTCTCTTGAGGAAGGCTTGCATTGCTATAAATTTCTGTCTTAGGACTGCCTTTGCTGTATCCCAGAGGTTCTAATAATTTGTGTCTTCACAATCGTTTTTTTCCAAAAATTTGGTAATTTCCTTCTTGATCTCATCTCTGACCCAGCTATCATTCAGCAGAATGTTATTTAGCTTCCATGTTTTTGTATGAGTCTGCAGATTCCTGTTGTTACTGAGTTCAAATTTTATTCCATGACAGTTCAAGAAAATGCAAGAAATAATTTCTATACTTTTAAATTTGCTGAGGTTAGACTTGTGACCTAAAATGTGGTCTATTTTGGAGTATGTTCTGTGGACTGATGAGAAAAATGTGTATTCAGATTTGTTAGCATGAAATGTTCTGTACATGTCTGTTAAATCCAAATGCTGAATGGTTAAATTTAAATCTAGAATATTTTTTGGTTCTTATTGGAATACCTATCCAACACTGCCAAAAGGGTGCTAAAATCCCTGACTATGATGGAGCTGGAAGAAATCAAGTTGCTCGTGCTTGTTAGAGTATCTTATAAATTGAGTTGCATTCTGGTTGGGTGCATAAATATTAATAATTGAAATCTCATCATATTGAGTATTACCCTTAACAAATATGAAGTGCCCATCCTTACTGTTGCTTCCTTTTGTTGGTTTAAAGCCTATTGTATCTGTGAATAAAATTGCAACACCTGTTTTTTCTGCTTTCCAATTGCCTGGAGTATAGATGACCATCCCTTCACCCTGAGTCTATATTTATCTTTTAAGGTAAGATGAGATTGTTGTATGCAACAGATATCTGGCCTGAGTTTTTGCATCCAGTCAGCCAACCTATGCCTCTTTAGAGGACAATTTAAGCCATTCACATTAATTGAGAATATTGATAAATCTGGTAAAATTATGGGTGTCATGTTTTTTGAAAGTCCAGTGGACATTTTTAATCCTTTCACCACTATGGAGGTTGGAATTTAATCAAAAGTTTCTGAGTGGCTCAGCGCCTGTGGCTCAAGTGGCTAAGTTGCCAGCCACATACACCTAAGGTGGCGGGTTCAAATCCAGCCTGGGCCTGCCAAAACAACAATGATGGCTGCAACAAGAAAATAGCCGGGCATTGTGGCGGGCACCTGTGGTCCCAGCTATGTGGGAGGCTGAGGCAGGAGACTCGCTTAAGCCCAGGAATTGGAGGTTGCTGTGAGCTGTGATCCCACGGCACTATACCCAGGCAGATAGCTTGAGGCTCTGTCTTAAAAAAAAAAAAAAAGTTTCTGAGTGAGTTTACTTTTGTGGTGGAGGATTGCACTGGTCACTGTGGAGGATAGGTCTGAGAATATCCTGGAGAGCTGGTTTAGTTATGGCAAATTTCTTCAACATGTGAATGTCATTAAAGTATTTAATTTCTCCATCATAAATGAAACTCAGTTTAGCTGGATTCAGGATCCTGGATTGAAAGTTATTTTGTTTTAGGAGATTAAAAGTCAATGACCACCATCTTCTAGCCTGAAATGTTTCAGTGGAGAGATCTGCAGTCATTCTAATATTCTTCCCCTTGTAGATTGTGGTTTTCTTATGTCTAGCTGCTTTCAGAATTTTCTCTTTTATATTAACTTTAGTGAAGTTCATTATGATGTGCCTGGGGGATTTCTTATTCAGGTTGAGTTGTGCTGGGGTTGAAACTGTCTGCTATCTGAATTTCAGAATCTCTTGGCATGTCTGGAAAGTTCTCTTTCATAATTTCATGAAGAGGAGTCTCTGTGTTTTGTGAAGCAGCTTCATTGCTTTCCAGGATTCCTATAAGGTGAATATTAGTTTTCTTCAAATTATCTCAGAGCTCTCTGAGAGAATGATCCATTTTTGCTTTCCATTTCTCTTCCTCTTTGAGTGCTTGGGAACATTCAAAAGTTTTATCTCCAATGTCAGAAATCCTTTCTTCTGACTACTCCATTCTGTTATTGAGGAATTATATTGTATTTTAGATCTTTGAGGGCTGCAAGCTCTTGCCTCAGTGTGTCAAAATCTTTGGTGATTTTGTCTTTGAATTCACTGAATTCTTGAAAAAACTTTTGAAATGCTCCTCGAATTTCTAATTCCAACTTTGCCTCTATTCTATTAATATTATTTGCAATCCAAATTCTGAATTCAATTTCTGACATCTCAGTCATCTGTTTATGAATGGGATCTTCAGTGGTGTCTGCCATATCCTTCCTTGGAGGGGGGTTGATCATCTCTGGTTTTTCATGTTACTGGAGTTCTTCTGCTGATTCCACCCATGCTTATTTTACACCATTTGGCCAGATGAGCAGATAAGGACAAGTTGTTTGGGGATCCAGGAGTAGAGATTAACTAGGCCTTTGCCCCAAAGCTGGGACTGGTGTCTGTACCTTTTCCCCTAGGGCTTTGCCAAGGACCCATACAGTGGTACATTCTGAGAAACTATGGGCCTGCTTAGTGTAGTTGTTAAGTGGTTTTGTCTTGTTTTTAGCTTGCCTCTGTCCTACCCTTGTGAATCCATTACTCTGGGTTAAAGTCTCAGTTGTGGAGAAATACCAGCAATTAAGTTGCCCCATCCGCCACTGGCAACAATTGGAAATTGAAAAGCAAACCTTCCCACAACCACACACCCAGGGTACTACTTTGGATAGTCCTCAGGTGACTGGCCCAGTTCAAGAGGTCCAAATCAATTGTCCCAGTCAGCACTGGTCTCAGGTGGGAGAGTTCAAAAGTTCTCTGGCAACTAGATAGCAGGAGTCTGCTGGCAGCTCAAGTATGACTCACTCCAGTGCTCTGTGAGGTCAGAAGGACCCACTCAGCAAATAAATTAGTCTGGGAAGGTTGATGCCTCATTCCCCACCCTGCACCTCTGTCACCCCTAGTCACTGGTAACCTCACAAGACTGTGACCCAGTTACCTCCAATGAGTGGATGCTCCAGGGTTTTATGCTTGCCTGAGTCACAGGGAAATCTATATCATCTGAGCCAGGCCACCTCTCTGCCACTATCCAGCAGGGGGAGATGAGGCCTGACAATCCCAGTTGCTTAATGGAGGCTGCAGAGGTTTACTCAGTTCCAACCCCACACTTGATTGATGTTGCTGGCAGAACAGGACAGAACAACTTCGTAGAATTTGTTTCTATCCCAGTATATTCCCCTGTGAGTCAGACCCAGTCTCTGCTGCAGTTTGTGTGGGGCTAGACACGGTTAGAGCTCACACTCAGCATTCAGTTCCTGCCTTTGCCTGCTCACTTTTGTCTCAGCTATAATCCCCTGAGGGCCATGTGCATCTTAGGCTCAGTAAAGCAATCCTCTGGTTCAGCCCCCTCTACCCTGGGAGTCTGCCGGTTCTCCACACATATTCTAGTCTATGCTCTGCACAGGCCACTACCACCTCAGGTCTTCCCTTTATTCACGAGCCCTGTACTTGCACCCCAGATCTGTTCCGCCAGTGGCTGCCACCAGAGAAGATGCCCATCTTCCTCCGGTTGCCCAGAGAGACAGGGCTTGTCAGTCCAGAATAGCCCCAGTTGTGTTAGCCCTATTGTTCATGCTACTGTGGCTTCTGCTCTGCACTTCGGGGCACCACCACTCTTGTATGGTTCCCTCTCAGCTGACTGTCCTCTCCTTACTCCCATGCCACTGGATCAGCACAGAACAGCAACAGCTCCTGTCCCATCCACACCTCTCAAGAATATGCCCAAGAATGCCCACGTGGAATAGGTTTCCAAACTTTGGGGTGAGAGTGGAGAGGAGTTCTGGGAGTTCAGAATTGCAGGTAGAGAATATATACAGTTTTATACAGTTTTATGCCTTGCAGGAGAATGCCATGGCACCCTAGTAGGGGTATGAGGTCCAGTTTTTAGAGTGTCTCTCCCATAGGATAGAATGGGAGAATGTTTGAACTCTGCTTGCTTCTTTCTATGGAGTATTCTGTGAGCCCTTCTCATGGGGATGGGGAGTCCCATTGCTTGGCAATGGATTTTGTAGCTTTTATTTTTATCCTTGGGATTGCAGCTCACCTCAGCAGGGTTGATGTGCATTCTTAAACCTTCTCTCTTTGCTTAGCTCCAAACCATTAGCTTACTTGCTAAACTTCTGTCCTTTAACACTCCTTCTGGATGGGATCCTCTGTGGAAAACTGGCTCCAGTCCACCATATTGCCTCTGCCCCCCCCAACTACATTAACTCTAAATGAAAATATACAAACAATTTAACAATCCACCTTTAAAAATATAATATATACATAAATGATCTGCAAATACACATGGGAAGGAATCAGTGGAAGAACTCTGGCAACATTAAAAATAAGAACAGATCAACACTACAAGAGATTAAAAGGGAGATAGAGTTGAAAATACCATCCTAGGTCTTACTCTGAAATGCTGAAGTAGATATTGGATGTGCCTTCCAGTGGTTTTCAAATGTGTGGAGATTGCAAAAGAATCTCTTAAGATTTTTAAAATCTCATCCATCAGAGTGCTTAAGACTAGAGGTTGTAGTGTCTGCAGGTTAGAATTTTGAGTTTGGAGCTCCAGTCAGGATGATTGAGGTTGTTTCCAACAACCATCTGAAGAAGAAGGTCAGTAACACCAATGACACCACTGGGAACCTTAAGAACCTGATTGCAGCCCAAACTGGCACCTGTTGGAACAAGATTGTCCTTAAGAAGTGGTACACAATTTTTAAGGACCACATGCCACTAGGGGACTATAAAATCCATGATGGAATGAACTTGGACCTTTATTACAAATAGAGCAGACTTCCTTTCCCCTGTTCTACCGTTCTTTACTCCCACACTGGTATGGAGGCTTGTTTTTAAAAAATCACATTAGAAAGGAGTTGCCAATAGCCAGGAGGGAATATTTCCAAGTTTTATTGTGACTATTGCAATATATATTTCACCCATGACTCTCCATCTGTGAGAAAGACACACTGCAGTGTGAGGAAGCACAAAGAGAATGTGAGGGACTACTATCAGAAATAGATGGAAGAGCAGGCCCAGAGTGTGATCGACAAAAAAACAGCTGCATTTCAACAAGGAAAACTACCTCCTACTCCATTTTCTGCTCCTCCTCCTGCCTGGGAGATGATTTCACCTTCCCCCAATCTTCTGGGTCCTCCTCATCCCAGTATGCCAGCACCCCATATGTGGGGCCCTCCCATGATGCCGATGATGGTTCCTCCTCCTCCTGGGATGATGCCAGTGGGACCTTATCCTGGAATGAGGCCCCCCATGGGAGGTCACATGCCAATGATACCTGGGCCCCCAATGATGAAACCTCCTGCTGGTCCCATGTTGGTGCCCACTGGTCCTAGAATGAGTTGGTCTGGTGACTCCCCACCAGACAAAGTAGAGAGGAGTTTTCTTTATGTCAGTTTCATATTAATTGTTCTGCTTCACCAGGAGATGGTGGTGCTGTGATTCTGGGTGTTTTTTTAACTGCATGGTAAGGAAGATTTGCTCCTCCTTCCTATCAAAGACAGAATAGTTTTGAAGGGAAGAAGTGAACCCCCAAAGGGGTAGTTTTCATTTTTTTTGTGAAATGTGAAAATAAAACTATTAAGTATTTTAGTTAAAAAATAAAATAAAATAAAATAAAATCCAAACTTACTTTAATGTGGAAGTCACTGGAATTGAGGCAAGTAGTTCTGTGCAAGCAGTGAAACCTGCTGGGTGGGAGCCTGCTGGGTGCTGTACACTGGTGGGCTGATGGGGTGGCAGATGAGGAGGAAGACTCTGCTTTTGAGGAAGAAAATGAAGAAATTAGAGGAGGTGCAGAAGGTAGACAGGGTAAAAGACAGACTTTTTCTGAAGAATTGAGATGTATGATGTATGGATTTGGAGATGAAAAGAATCCTTATACTAAATCAATAAATTTTCTTGAGGAATATCTCCTCTTGAAGAATATCTACTGTGTTAGACTTCATTACTGAAATAACTCACAAGTCCATGTCTATTGTTAGACAAGTTTGAGTACAATTTGAAGATATCATCTTCTTCATTCAAAAGGACCCCCAGGAAGTTTGCTAGTGTTAAAGACTTGTTTACTATGAATGAAGAATTGAAATGGGCTAGAAACGCATTTGATGAAGCAAACTATGGATCTTAACATCTTTTGTAGATTCTGAAACTCCATTATGTTCTAGGGAAACCATATGTAAGAATTGTTATATTTTCTACATTAAGGTCCTGATATCTACCTATGTAAATGAAAGGTAGGAAAACCAAGTTTATGCCTTTATTTTCATGGCTTTGATTTTTATAGTGATATTGGATTAATTGCCTGCCTTTATATGACCATACTTGAATTACTTGTTGAGTTTTAATGACCACGCATAAGTTAAAGCACCTTTCAAACCATGCAGTTCTTTCTGACTGTTAACCAGGAATGAAATATTAAGTGTTCATGTGTTAGGCATATTTGTGACATTGTGAACTATGCAGTATCTGTTTAATATGTGAAATCTAAATGGTATCTTTGAAAGCTTAAATATGTACTTTGTATATTCTGAAGTTTTTTATATGAAAGTAGTCTAAGATTATTGTAGTGAACATTTTTTATGTTTCATTTAAAGGGATGATATAGGAAAAGACCATTTTTCTAGTATAGATATTTATCTATTTTTTTAAATATCTTTCTTTCTTTCTTTCTTTCTTTCTTTCTTTCTTTCTTTCTTTTCTTTTCTTTTTCTTTTCTTTTCTTTTCTTTTTTTTTTTTTTTTTTTTTTTGCAGTTTTTGGCCAGGGCCAGGTTTGAATATGGTGCCAGTGTCACCTATGGCTGATTTCTTTTAATATTCTTTTCTTCTGATACTAAGAATGATTTTATTTTCTTGGAGAAACAAAGTTTCATGTGAATATTTCACGTTGGAAAGCTTTTTTGATTTAAGACTTTTTGGTGATTATAATATACTATTTGTGAAGTTTTGGGAGAAGCTTCTAAAAAATATTTTCAGGAGCAAGAATGATATTGCCTAGAAATTGAATGGCATTGATGGCAAGATAAGCATTTAAGGTAATGTTTTATTTGCATATTTCAAAGTACGTATTCATTGTGGAAACATATACTTGATGAAAACCATGTGTGTCTGTGGAAGTCACTTTTTTTTTTAGTTTTCTTATACAACGTTTATTTTTACCTTGGTATATTTTTATGTTGCATTCAGCATAAATAAAAATTAAACAAAAATATGTTTAATTGGCTCAGAAAAGGCCCATGTGAAAAGAAAAATATTGGGTAAAATGTTACCAATAGGTAATTAGGATTTAGAGGGATGGATTTGAGTTACAGTCCCATGGAAACCCTTTTGTAATTCAAGATATATGGGTTTTGTATGTATGTATGTACCTTATCAAATTATTATTGCATTTAGGTTGAAATAAGGATTAAAATTGCATTAAAATAGATCACTGAATGTTCCCCTTTGTGAAACTGAACTTTTTGTGTGCCACTTAAAAATGTTATATATTCATTAGAGAGATATGGGACTACAAGAAATGAACCTGGTGAATCATAGGTATTGCTGAAAGAGAAAAATAGAATCCTAAGAGCATGGAAGCTCTACTTCAAGACATCATGGTGGAGAATTTCTCAAGCATTGTGAGAGATCCATAAATTAAGATACTAGGTGGTTTTAGAGCCATAGGAAAATTCAAATCAAACGTAGTATCTCCTAGACACATTGGAATTAACTTGGCCAAAATACAAATTAAAGAGAAAATTTTGCAAGCAGTCATGCATACACAACTTCTTATATACAAGGTGAAAAACATTAGGTTGACAGCAAATATTTCAGCAAGAACTTTTCAAGCCAAAAGTGAGTTGTCATGTGTCTTTAACCTCAAACAAAAAGAATTTTAGCCCAAGAAGCTTTATCTTGCTAAAGTAAGTTTTATATTATCCAGAGAAATAAAATATTTTACTGACATGGAAATATTGAGGAAATTCACCACAACAACTTCAGCTCTGTATGAAGTACTCAGACTCATTCTTTACATGACCAGCACAATGGAACACTACATAGTGAAGACACTCAGAAATTAAAGGATAAACCATATTTTATACAGTGGTGCAGAGAGTAAAACTAAGCAATAGACGTCTACAAAATAAGAACAGAACTCCACCATACTTAACAGTTCTGTCAATAAATGTGAATGCCTTGAATTCCACATAGAAAAGGCACAGGCTAGCTGACTAAACAAAAAAGCACACACAAAGTATACACTGTCTTTAAGAAATACATTTAACCTCTAAAGACACAGAAAGACTCAGGGTGAACTGTGGGAGAGCCACATTTCAGGCAAATGGAAATCAGAAGAAAGCAGAGGTTTCAACATTATTTGCATATATAATTGTATTTAAACCAACAAAAATGAAGAAAGACCAAGATGGATACTATATATTGGTCAAGGGAACAATAAGCAAGATGACATTTCAATCCTAAACATTTATGCACCCAACTTAAATGCTCCCAGATATTTAAAGCAAACCCTAACCAATCTGAAAAATATGATATTCTGCAATACCATAGTAACTTCAGATTTCAACATCCCTCTGACAGAACTGGAAAGAACCTCTAAACAGAAACTAAATAAATAAACAGGAGACTTAAATGCAACCCTAGGGAAAAAATGGACTTATAGAAGATAGCATCCCCAAACTATTATACATTCTTCTCACCAGCCTATGAATCATACTCTAAAATTGATCATGTCCTAGGTCATAAATCAAAGCTCAACAAAATTAAAACAATAGAAATTATACTTTTTATCTTGTCAGGCCATAAGAGAATAAAGATAGAACTCAAATTCAACAAAAACCTTCATGTGCACACAGATTCACAGAAACTAAACAACTTTATGCTGGGTCAAGAAGGAGATAAAAAGGAAAATCATTAGATTTCTTGAACAAAATGAAAATGAAGCAACATGTCATCAAAACTTGTGGTATACTGCAAAGGCAGTTTTAAGTGGGAAATGTATTGCATTAAAACAGAAAGAGAGGAAATCAATAACCTAATGGACCATTACAAGAAGCAGGAAAAGAAAGAGCAATCCAATCCCAAGCATAGCAGAAAAATAAAAAAATAACTAAAATTATATCAGAATTAAATGACATTAATAACATAAGAACCATTCAGAAGACCACCTAAAACAAAAAAAATTGTGGAAGAAGATGTGGGGGAAACACTTGAGGATGTGGACCTAGGGAAAGATTTTATGAAGAAGCTTCAGCAGCAATTGCAACAACAACAAAAATAAACCAATGTACTTAATTAAACTGAAAAGATTTTGCACAGCTAAGGACACCTCAATAAAAGCAAATAGACAACCTTTGGAATGGGAAATGATATTTGCATGTTATGAATCTGACAAAGGCTTGATAACTAGGAAATATAGAAAATTCAAATTAATCAACAAAAAAATAGCTAACAATCCCATCCATCCCTGAATAAGAGACATGAACATAACCTTCTCTGAGGATGACAAATTACTAACAAACATATTTTTAAAATGCTCTTTATCCCTAATTATGAGAGAAATGCAATCAAAATCACCTTGAGATATCATTTAACCACAGCGAGGTTAGTTCACATCACAAAGTCCAAGTGTTGCAGATACTGGTGCAGATGTGGAGAGGGAGGAACACTTTTATACTGTTGTGATTGCAACCTAATTTAACTTTAGAAAAAAAGTATAGAAAATCCTCAAAGAACTGAAATTAGACTTCTCTAGATCCCACTACTAGGCATC